GCATAATATTAGTAGTATTATTATTTAAATTTTATTTTTATATAAATTAAAATTCAATATTTGGGAGTACAAAAGCATGACGTTTTTTCATACAAAATTTACTTTTCGTTTGCTAATTAATTTTTATTCGAATAATAATTGGATCTACTGTTTAGCGTGCAATTAGTTTACTTCAGTTCAACGTTTTACAAATATTATTAAAATACCTTTTTTCAGTCAGATTATAGTTATATATTTAAATTAGTTAAGTATAATTAATTTTTTAACGATAATTTGTAAACTTATACGCAGCAAAAATTTTCCATGGTAATTATTATATGTTAAAGTAATTGCGAGTGTTTGAATATAAATTAGTATGAATTTTAAATCAGATCTTTTGAAGTCATAAATAAATTCTATTTATCCAGTAAAAAGAACAATACCTCTTTCAAATAACTAAAATTTTTAATTTTATAAATGTGCATTTGGATGTAGCGTACTTATTACCGTATGGACTTTTAGAAAAATTAATGTTAAAGATAAATATAAAGATATCAAAATATAATGATATATATGTTAAAGATTTTATTTACAATAACAAATATTTATATGGTTATGTACTTAGTCGATTTAATGCCAGTTTCAAATGAAATAATTTCATTTATTTGAAAGGGTTGTGATAGCAGATTTGAAAATGTACTTTAAAATTTAAAATTCATACAAGTTTAACCGACATGTACAATAAAAGAATATATGTTTAATGATATAAAAAAAATGTTAAAACAATGCAGATGTGTATTTTTAATTATTATGTCTTATTTCTATGCAAATAACAATGAAGATTATTACAATTGTACACTAAACAACGTGTCTGCATAGATATAAATTTAATTTGTACTTACATGTGTACGAATATGAAGTACTATTGGATTTAGTTGCATCAGAAGCAAAATAATGTCAAATCAATCAATATTTGTCATTGAAATTTATTATACTTGAAATGTAAAATTTTTGTATTATTATAAATCTATAAGTTTATTTTTATAAATTGAAAAAATTAGACAGACCGTTTCAGTAATATTACAATGAATTTGGAATGGAATTTTACATAAATATGCAATGCGTAAATTTTTATCATAGATGTTCATTATAGATTTTTATTATACAAAGATAATTAGAAAAATATAATGTAAAATCTTTCAAGATTAGAAGAGTTTGAAAATATTTTATATCACTTGCGTGTATGAAATATTCAACAAATTATTCTTTTCGTTCAAATTATTGAAAAACAAATTACTATTCGTCGTTACAAGAAAGATCTTTTTAAAGGATAAGAGGTGTTTCTTTAAGCTTACAAATAATCGGCATAACAAAAACGCCGATTCGTTTAAAACGATTATTAAAAAAATTCACTCTTTTAAACTTTTTGGCATATTCCTTTTCTAAAATTCATATTAGCATTATGCATGCAATACTCGCGACAAAAAAAAATTGTAATTATCAATTGAGTGCATATTATTAAGTAGTTTAAGCTTATAAATTTAGTGAGTGATTACCAATACAGCAAACGTAGAGAGAAAAATATTCCAACTATATTTTTGAAGATGATCTTACTTGAAATATTATCATAATGATGGGATGAAATGAAAACGTGGCTCACGAGAGACAATAGCCAATCTCCAAGTGAAAGTGCAGGAAGGGAGGAAGGACGAGCACACTCGTGTACGGCTCCAAATCGTTTACGCGCGAAGCTACGCGAGAGCTGATGAAAGACGGGGGAAAAAAAGCGATCAGCAGGTGCCTTGCGCGTTAGAGAAATCAATAGAGACATTGGTTGAACTTTGGAAAAGCTGTGATGAGCTTAGGAAGGAGAATGAGCATCTCTTCACTCGGGTCGAAACTTTGAAGTAAGCTATTGCCGCAGAATTTAATTTCAAGAGATAAGACAATAGAATGCAATTTAACAGTTTAATTAAATTTTAAATTGTCAATAATTAATGTTGCAAGTGTATAGGAAAATTTGAAGCCCCTTAATAATTTATACTGTTTCACATATTAAATAAATGTATGGTTGGTTGGTTGGTTATTTCGAAGGGCAAATGTGAATGGTGACGAGGCTGAAGAAAAATTGATAAAAGCTCATTTATAACGCGAAGAGACATTTAATTTGTACGCAAGAATAAAAATGTTAGGACAGTTAGTGGATGAAATGCGATTACAACTCGCGAAAGAAAAAACCGATATAATCATTGACTTATAGAACAAAGTATTCCGTGGTAAGTTGTTTCTAAATGCAGAAACTGAATCAACAGAAAAATATAATCACGAGGAAAAAGACGAGAAGAAGATATTTAAAGTATTATTAGCTTCTTTAAATTCGTTGTAATGCCATTAAAGCTGTTAAAAGTTAAAAGTTAGTGAAAAATTAGCGTTCTGCACTTTTGTTTATAAACAAGTACAATAGCAGCAGGGTATTTTATGTAAAAACAAAAAAAAAACAAAAAAAAAACAAAAAAAAAGATCAAGTACGCGTTAAACATATATATATGCATATGCTGAAGCTTCAATTACTTTGTTTTGTTATATAATCGTCCTTTTTCTACTTTAAAAATGTTCAAATGTATACTATATTTTAAAGCTCAAGTTTTTTAAGTTGTATACGTTTTATTATTAACGTTGTATAGCCATTTTCGTTTCAACGATTAAACCATTTTATTTCCTAAATACATTTTAGTTCACATGCGAACATATTAATATTTTTTTAAAAACATATTTTTATGAGACCTCTGCTCAAACAGAAACTTATTTTCATTGCAGCATGGCTTTTCCAATTTATAAACTGATTTTTGTCAAGTTTATAGAAGTACTTCTGACTTTGAAGACTTTTATTCTACATTTTAATTCACTTATGCCATGTGTATACTATTAAAAGTACTTTCCAGTACAAAAGATTGTATGCAAAAAGTGCATCCACAAAAAAAAAAAAAAAAAAAAAAAAAAAACCCCAAACAAAAAAAAAAATAACCACCAATCAATATAGAAGAATTTGTATGTCAAAGTATTTTCTTTATTTTAATATTTCTAAAATATTCAATGGACATTAACGTTCGTACCTTTGTTGAAACGCACATTTGTCTTAGATAATTAATATTAATTTCACGGCTCAAGGTACGTTACTGTCGTTTCTTTCAAATATAAAAAAATCTTTGCATGAAGCGATAATTCATTAATGCGTATTTTCAACGTCTCCTCGTATCCTTTAAGCTTTCGTATATTATATAAAAACGGGAATATAGAAAATTCACATAATTCGAACTATTATCTAGGTATTCAATATCAAAACTATTGTCGAATAAATTGCTCTTTTATTATCAAGTGCGCGTCTTTATGGATATTTAATTTTTTTTCCCTCGCCATTATTATTTGAGAATTGCTTGGAAAATAAAGTGCGCGTGCATTGGCAAGTTTAGTTAGGTTTAACGTTTCATGTGAAAACGAAATATTCCAAATGTAAGCCACTCCCCCCCCCCCCCCCCCCCCCCCCCCCCCCCCCCCCCCCCCCCCCCCCCCCCCCCCACCCCCCCCCCCCACCCAAACAAAACCACACCCCCGCCCCATCAACACCACTACATTAAGAGAATAGTTGACTATTATTAATATTAATTTTTCATAAATATTTTAAAATTAAAAATTGATCGCATTAATATTTCGATGAAAAGATCGAAATGAAATTTAATACTCTAACGGTAATAATGAATTTGACAATTAATATGGAAATTGATAATCAACTAATTTGAAAAGTAAATAATTATAAGCATTAGTTTATTAGCTACTACAAGAGCATATAAAATGAAAGTTTAGTGAATGCATTTTTAAAATGAAATAATCAACCATTGATGAGTAAATAAAATCATAAACAATAGAATTTGAGAAATTTTAGAATTTGCACTTAATCAATAAGGTGCCCGAATTATTGTAAAATTATGTAAAATTTCGAATCATTATGACATTGATATACAAAAATTGTATTAATTCACAAGAGTCGCCAAATTCAGAAAATTATAAAGTTTCCGTAACAAATAATTTCAATAATTATAATGCAGCTTAAGTTTCACAATTCATTAAAAATTTAAGTCAAAATTATGATAAACATGAAACATTATGGTCGGCGTAAATAATCAAAATTAACCGCGGAAAGAAAAAAGCGGCGACCCAACAAATCAACCGAAAGCTTTACAAGAGTCCTTCGCAAAATTACATCAAAAGTTGTTAATAAAAGAAAAAAAGTGCGAGCGCATCGTGGTAGAGGGAAGTTATTAATTTAAAGTGAATTTATTGAAAATTATATAAAAAGTGTAGAGAATCATTGTGATGCAAATTCATTCTAAATTTTTATTTTGATAAATTATATCAGCCGTTTATCCGTGAACAATTCTAAACTATTGACATCTATTCGTTGACCATTGACATATATTCGCTGAGAATTCTAAAATTACCTTTTAAGATTATAGCTAACGTGGCCGTGTAATTTCACCTCTAATGATTGTTATTTTAGAGCAATTATAGAGAATCCAAAGACTATCGATAATTGCATGTATCATCGGACTTTTTTTCAGTGCCGATCAATAGACTCGAAATACCATTATTAAACGTAAATGAGAAGAGAATTATCAAATCTCTAAAATTATCCGTACGAACAATCCATATTGACCGGATCCATTCTGCCTCGTCCAATGAGAATTTTTCTCATAAAATAAGTGGCGTAAATAAATCATTTACACTCGGATCGTTCAGGCGATCGATAATTCCACGAGAGGAACGTACAGCAGCATGGACCCACCACCAGTCGATTCAATTCGTAAGGACAACAGTGCCGAGTCAACAGTGTCGACAACACGAGCATCGAGGCGCAAGTGGACAAGTTACAAGCGACAAACGACAAATTCGCGTTCGAGTTCCAGTTCTCTCAGCCCTTGCAGTCCTTACAGCTAAATAAGCACATTAATAAACTCAGAACGGAGATGGATGCGCTAACGAAGGAGAAGGCCGACCTGGTGCAGGAGCTCGAAGACGCCGAGCAACGGGGCTCGAACATCCGCGTGGATAAGGACGCGCTCGAGGCCGAAATGGATGAGCTCGAGTGGCAGCTACACAAGCTGAAGAAGGGCCTGGAGCTTGAAGCATCCGCGAAGAGGACGACGACGCCGCGGCTGATATTCGAAAGCACGAGGAGCGCTTTATCGAGGAGGCCAAGAGCCCCTCGCCCTGGTTCCTCCTAAGTGGAAAAACGTGTAGCGTCTTTACGTTTAAGAAATGTACGACTTTGCGAGACGATTGATTTTCAGTATTAGCTGCAAGTAGCCTGATATGCGTACAAGAGTGTCGGAAGTGCATTAATGTGCATGGACATGCGTTTTAGGACTGCGTGGGCACCGCGCGATAAGCGAAGTAAAATAGAATGCTGCAGTGGGGGAATCGTACATACTTATTCCATTATGTATGATTTGTACCGTCGATTATGGGGATTATTTGAAGATGGGTATTGTCGAGAAATTCGACATTTTTCTCAAGTTTCATTGTAATTACGAACGATCTCTCGAACCCATTCCTGGCTTCGTCATACGTGCATCGATTTGGGTTCGCAAGAGATCGCAATTCTCTGTCTTCGATGCCGCTTCTTCTGTTTTTTTTTTTCTTCTTTTTTTCTTTTTTCTTTGCCTTTTCATTTTATCATATAGGCAGTTCAAGATTGCGCTAAGGAATTATCTTTAAAAGATAATATTTTTATTTACTTATCGAATATTCCTCGTACCTGTTCACATGATAAAAGAAACATCTCTTATTATATTAATTAATTTGAATAACAGACTTTTATTAGTATTTTCTCTATATAATATATATTCATCTAACATATTACATATTATGAGGAGTTTCGAATAATCTAATCCAATTCTTAGAGCTTCGTTACCTCTCTCTCTCTCACTCTTTTTTTTTTTTTTTTTTTTTTTTTTTTTTTTTTTTTTTTTTTTTTTTTTTTTTTTTTTTTTTTTTTAATTTAACGTTATTTGACGCTATTTCTAACACATTATATTTACGAAGCATTATATCAGTAAATAAATAAAATATTTACGACGTGCTCGAGAAAGTAGGATATATTAGGATAGATTAGTCAATGAAAAGAAATACGTAAGATAATCAATATTTTATAAGCCAAGTTTCTTAACTACGTCCAATCATTAGAGTTTCAGGATAAATTCATGGAATATTTGGGCAATTTAATTTTGATTTCATTGGAAAATAAATATTTAGAGCCTTTAAACCAAATCTCAATCTTAACTGACGGAATTTCTATTTTCGCATGAGTTATCTTTTGATTTTCATCAATCTTCATTTGCACCTGTTGCATGTAATCTTCCTACGCTATAACTTTCAATTTTATAAAATATTTTGTTATGAATATAATGGAATCGCATGCACTTTTCAGATTTTTAAACACAAAATGGATAATTAATCTAATTTTATGTCATTTTTCATAATTCATAATTACATTCGATCACGATCTTCTTATTCTTCAACATTATATTTCTATTCGACAACTTGACCTATCATTTAAATTATATTTTCATAAGTTTTATTCTTAATCAGTAGAGCGATTCCACAATTTATTCTGGTTAAAATTAATTATCTCTTTTAATTTATACTACACTTTTTCGATGCTTTGTAATAGACATTTATTGTTATCGGTGCTAATGTCACTTGATTTAGTTAAATTTTTTTTACGAATCGTTAAATTTACTATTAAATTATTTTAAGCTATGAAGCAGCTTCTTACTAAAACTTATTTTTAAACAGCAAAATCTTGTTATTTTTAGAAATTCGATTTTTGTAAATTCCGAAGTCATTGTTTTGAACAAAAGTGCGTAAATTCTATCACAGCATATAAACAATATCAACTTTTAAAATAAATACCGCTATCTACAATAGAATATAATATACTTTATACATAAATGTTATCCTTCTATTATATTAATATAATAGTCTGACTATTTTAAATTATTTCCTTCAAAAAGTTCGAAAAAAATCTTACTTATTCAATATAATTTGTAAATTATATTGAATTGCTTTGAAAAATATTCACAAATGCATATGATGCAATGTTTACAATTTTTATACGCATAAATAATAATAATAATAACAATAATAACAACAATAATAATAATAACAATAATAACAACAATAATAATAATAACAATAATAACAACAATAATAATAATAACAATAATAACAACAATAATAATAATGATAATAATAATAATAATGGCAAGCAAACGATTATAGATTTATGCAATTTAATTATTTATAAATTTTTTCACACTCGATACTATTTCTCGATAATGTTTATTGCAAAAGGAATCTTTGTAAATTAATAAAATATTGTCCGATATAGAGACAAATTCCAATAATCCATATGAATTCTAATTTTATGTATAATTACAAAAATCAACTGTACATACATTTTCGACATTTCAATAAACTAAGATACACACAAATTACAAATTAAGATTCTCATTGAGAAAGACTCATTCGTAAAGATATTAATCATTAAATTGAAATATTTTTATATAATATAATAGATACTAAACTAAAATTTATATAACTTTGTATACAATTGTTATATGAGCTGATAAAATACTATAAACATACGTGGGTTATTATATAAATTATTGTACCCTATATCAATACCATTATATTATTTACCTTTTATTCTTTCACACTTTGTCTGCATAATTTTCTGTATCATTGGTACAATTATAAAAATAAATCTATAAAGTATTAAAACTAAATTAATTGTTTATTTTGTATTGTATTGTGTATAAAGAGCTTACTTTGTACAAAAATTTACAATTCACAAATTACATGAAACCCTATTTTAAAATTTCCATTGAATTTGTCGGTTATAACTCCAATTACTATCAATTATTTGATTATGATTATAGGAGAAAAAAATACTATGACGTTGAAACATTTTCAATTATTATTTTAATCGTCCTCGAGCACTATTATTTATTTTAATTTATACGTAGCGCGAAGGTTCATATAATTCACAAAAATGTAATTTCAATATCTTTATCTAATTATATCAAGTCTTAAAATTGTCTTTGCATTCTCACTATTATTCAATCTAATTTAGTTCCAAGTATTTTATATATTTTTAATAGTTTTCTCAGAATAAACATAATGTTTACTATTTTATTTGCCCTTACCAAAGTAATATACCTTTTAAATACTTTAATTATCTATTATTTATTATTTTATTATTTTATTTTATTATTTTATTAATTATTTATTTAATCTTAAAATTGTCTTTGCATTCTCACTATTACTCAATCTAATCTAATTTAATTCCAAGTATTTTATATATTTTTAATATTTTTCTCAGAATAAACATAATGTTTACTATTTTATTTGCCCTTACCAAAGTAATATACCTTCTAAATACTTTAATTATCATCATTTGTATTATTATTATCGTGATTATTATTATATTTATTAGCGATTGTTATAAAAGCTGACCGATACAAATTATGTTGTGTATAATAATAAAACAATTTTTTAAAGATAAACACTTGAAGAAAAATGCATCTACCTAGCTTCTCATGGGGCTAGAAATCGTATTTCGAACATTTCGTTTTCGCAACGGATACTGAGCCCCCCAATAAATCTTCCGATACCTATCCATTTCATTCTTCGAGCGATCCTTATCTGATAATAATAGCGCAAAATCTGACTTCTATGATAAAAATATACCCTTTTATACATATACATTTTTATATAGAAATTGCAAGCTTGAAGTTCATAACTTTCTTCGAGCAAATGTTTTAACTTTAAAAAGCAATACAACTGAAACGTTATTAAATTACTGAAAAAATCACAACATATTATATACATTATTAATCTGTTAATACGTAACATAATGTAATCTATAATAATATTTCATTAAATTTTTATGCGTTTGAGGAAAATTAGAGTATTAATAAATTCAAAATTTGTTTATACAAAAGTACGATCATCCGAGTTTTGACAAAATTTTTTTTTTTTTTTTATTATATAAAGTAGTAGAAAGTATAGAATTATCTAGTAATTTCTTATTCAGTTATATAATTTTTCAAAAAGTAAATTAGTATTCGAGGATTAGAGCAACGAATGGACCTCGAGCGGTGCCTCGAATTGAAAAAATATTTGATTCTTATCGTTAAGTGAAAGGGTTGAGTATAGTATGCGCTAAAAAAGCAAGAAAATTTTAACATCAAGTGGTGGAAAGCATAGAAAAGCTGTCAGCCAATTGAATTTTCAGCTTCCAGCCTCCAGATACTTAGACTATTACAACCTCCGTCTTCTCAAACCCAATGTTATAGCATCTGAATAAACAAAAATTATTATTATAAATAATTTTGTTTTTTTTTTGTTTTTTTTTTGTTTTTTTTGTTTTTGTTTTTATTTATTTATTTATCTTTATTAAATAGCCCATTAATTTAATAGAGTTGTCACTTGCTGTTCTAAAATCACATTTTATATTAATGAATTGAAATTTGGATATGAATACGTAATACCAAAGGCATAAATACATAAAAATATTGGACTTAAATAATTATTATTGGACTACGTTACTGTGTAATTATAAAAAAATCTTATTCAGACAAAGTCTGATATAAGTTAAGCTATGAATTATATTATAAAACTATAAGTATAGTTATTTGACAATCATTATTCCAGTCAATATTTCATGTTTAACGTAGCCTAAATGTGTGTGTGTGTGTGTGTGTGTGTGTGTGTTGGAGTAAAAAAACAAACGAATTTTTGTATTGTAGGTGAGAATAGTTGATCTTATGTATGTATAATTAAAAGTTTGTTTATAACAATTAATTTATTTTTGTGTATTATATTTAATTGTGCCAAAAAGCAATAAATAATAATAAATAACAACTAGCATTTTGTAATTGGATATTATTTTTAACATAATTGAATATGCAAATGAAACTTTCAATTATTATTTTTAACCTTTATTCATCTTTATACATATACTTAAAAAATAATATATCATTTTATGATATTTATTATAATTTCAGATAAGTTTAGGCAAACTTAGAATTACTTTTATTCATCAATATTATTAAATATATGCTGAAATTTAATAGTCAAATCAATAATTTAAAATCTTACTT